TGATGCTGCTTGGCCTGCTGTGTTCATCCAGCTCTACACCTTGTTATCTCTGTTTTCCCAATAATAGCTCCATTTCTTTGGACAAGTTACTATATTAAGGTGGTTGTATAAATGCCACAATTTGTTGAAGCAGAGTGAAAAGCAAACATTGTGAACAAACAGGTGAGAATCAAGGAAAGGTTGTGGCAGGGTAGGGCAGCCCAGTGCCTGGCATGAAAGCAAGGCAGGTGTTAAGTAGTGTCCAAGTAAGGAAACCCAATTCAGTTTGGTACTGAGCTACTCTGGGATACTTCATAGTGGATATTTCAGAGGAGGATTGTTAGAGAATTGCATGTAGCAGATGTGCCACAAAATTACTGCATTTTTTGGAACACTGGAAGAGATACAAATTTAAAGATGAACAGGAGGAAGCACAGATTTATGATAGAAATCTGAAGAAAGATTAAACTGATTGACAATAATAATCAAATTAATGTTCCAGAAAATTTTAATTACCTCCTTATCGATTGGGTCAGAATGAGAAGAGAAAATGGAATTGTGAAAAGGTGTACAAAAGGTCCTTCCACAAGTAATCTGTTAGCAGACTTGCAAAGACAAGTGTGTGCTCCTGTGCTGAATATGAGCAATTGAAAAACATCAGGTCGGTGAGCTAATGTTGCGGGAGAAGAAACCACAGACTTCAGATGCAACAAGAACAGGAAAAAGCCAGGTCATAAACTAGGCTTACTTGAAGTTAAGAAGGGACATTTTTTTCTCAGCTAACTCAGAGATAACATTGTAAAGCTGAAGGGGAAATCAGAATCTAAAGATTACAAAAGGTACAAAAAAAAAAGAAAACCCTAGTAGTTTTAGAAATGATCGTAAATTTGCAGAGGTATTTAATGACAGATGCTTCACATGTTTATCAGATAAGAGAAGGATATGGGAAAAGTTGTGAATTCAAAATGAGTTTGAGCTGAACAATGTTGTTAATGGAAAGAAGGAAAATTTAAGTTTTAGACTCTATCCTTTAGGAAGAGCATAGAACATAGAACATAGAACATTACGGCGCAGTACAGGGCCTTCGGCCCTCGATGTTGCGCCGACCTGTGAAACCAATCTGAAGCCCATCTAACCTAAGCTATTCCATTATCATCCATATGTTTATCCAATGACCATTTAAATGCCCTTAAAGTGGGCGAGTCTACTATTTTTGCAGACAGGGCATTCCACGCCCTTACTACTCTCTGAGTAAAGAAGATAACTTCCAATATTTTAAATCAGAAACTCTGCCTGTGTGAATTTGTCAGTAGCTTGGTTTGAAATATCCTGAATCTGACAGCTGACTGGCTTAAAACAAAACATCTGTTCAACTATAATAACTATCCAGTCAGAGAGAGGACAGAATGATATGTACTGCAGCTAAAGCCTTACATTTATCCACAACACTATTCAAAGGGTATTGATTTAATGGCTCACCAAAATCAATGTGTTCAGCAACTTCTTCAGCGACTTCATACTTAACTGGGGATCTTATCAAGGTGTGATGGCCATCGGTGTACCGATTAAATTCTGATCCAGGTAAAAGCTTTTCAGCAGTGCTGAAATACAGATTGAGAAACAGAATAACTCTGACTTCACTCAGTAACAGTTCTTGAACTGCAAAACCAAACTTTTAAGTTTAATAGCAGGAAAACCAATGAAATGTTCCGTTCCCACTGGTTCAACTACACCTTAACTGCCTGCTCAAAACGAATTAGGTGGCATTCGGCGCAACCCCAGCTAATTTTCCTATTCAACTGTGAATAAAAGATTTTAGGGCTGCAATTTACCACCTCTGGAATATTTTCAGTTGTACCTGTATTACTCTGCTACAAAAACCCTAAACCATACCTGAATTATTATTGGAAGGAAAGGAGAATATTCATGCAAAAGCAAATGTCTAAAACTGCAGGAACTCCGATTCATATTGAATTGGGGACTGAATTGTAAACTCTGTCACACATCATGATGGGGGAAGAGTTACCTGGATACTTTGTTTCAAAAGGTGGTCACACCCTTTGGATTGTGCAGTCCAATTCTATTTGTAGTAAGGGACAGGAAGGAGGATGTGACAACAAGCAAGTCAAGTAAGGGGTAAGAGAAGATAGTCATGCAGGGACCATAGCTCTTAGAGTGATAGAGTCATAGTTATACAGCACTGAAACAGACCATTCGGTACAACCAGTCCATGCTGACTAGATATCCGAAATTAATCTAGTCCCATTTGCCCCATATCCCTCTAAACCCTTCCCATCCATATACCTATCCAGATGTCTTTTAAAATGTTGTAATTGTACCAGACTCCACCACTTCCTCTGGCAGCTCATTCCATACACACAGCACCCTCTGTGTGAAAAAGTTGCTCCTTAGGTTCCTTTTAAATCTTACCCCTCTCACCTTAAACCTATGCCCTCTAGTTTTGGAATACTCTGCCCTGGGAAAAAGACACTGACTATTCATCCTATCCATGCCCCTCATGATTTTATAAACCTCTATAAACCTTATAACTCTCAGCCTCTGACACTCCAGGGAAAGTAGCCCTAGCCTATTCAGCCTCTCCTTATAGCTCAAACCCTCCTACCCTGGCAACATCCTCGTAAATCTTTACTGAAGTTCTTCCTACAGCAGGGAGACCAGAATTGAATGCAGTATTGCAAAATTGGCCTAACCAATGAACTGTACAGCTCCCAACTCCTATACTCAATGCACTGACCATTTGTACCAAATCCCTTCTTCACTACCCTGTCTACCTGCAACTCCGCTTTCAATGAACTATGAACCTGCACCCCAAGGTCTCTTTCTTCACCAACATTCCCCGGGACCATAAGTGTATAATTTGTGCCCTGATTTGCCTTTCCAAAGTACAGCACCTCACATTTATCTAAATGAAACTCCACCTGCCATTCCTCAGCCTATTTGCCCATCTGATCCATTGTACTCTGAAATAACCTTCTTCACTGTCCACTAAACCACCAATCTTATTATTATCTGTCAAGTTTGAGGTGCTTGCTTGTGTCAGAAAAAGCAAGGTCTGTAAGGAAAAAGAATGGACTGACCAGGGCACCTGCATGAGGAACCAATGCTCCTTCTAAGCTGCACTGAGAGTCTGCACATGTCAGCATTGCTGGTGCATTCACTTCTGGTTTCTCCAGTCATTGTTGCGCAGAGACCTCTGAGGTCTGCACAGTGGCTGAATTAGAGGGAATGTACTTCACAGCATCATTAAGTGGGCGAATAAGAAGTAGGGGAGTAGTGGTATTAGAGGGTAGTACAGTGAGGGGGCTAGAAACAGTTCTGTGCAGCCCAGCGTACAATGTTACACCCTGTGCCAGGGTTGGGGGCATTTGCTCAGGTTGGACAGGAACTTGGAGTGGGAGAAGGATCCAGTTGCCATGGTTCAAGTAGGCACGACAACATAGGCAGGACTGAGAAAGAGGTTCTGCTTAGTCAGTACGAGGAGTGAGGCACCAAATTGAAGAGCAGAATCTCAAGGGTAATCATCTCTGGAATGCGAAATGAATACGTAGCTGAAAGAGTGCTGTGGGAGAAATGGGTTCCAGTTCATGAGGCACTAGCATCATTATTGGGGAAAGTGGGGCAGCACTTGAGCTGTGCTTGAACCAGTGTTCTAGCATACAACTAGGGAAGTAAAGAAGACCTTAAACGAAACATTGTGGGTGAGGGATTAAGTTTGGCGAGATACAGCAAATCAAGGGATAGAGTCAGGACAGGAAAAGGCACAATAATAAAACGGGAAGAGATCACAGAATGGCAGGACAGACAGAATATATCAACGGTCAGGTCTGGATGTCACAGAGATAACAAAAACACAAAAGTTCTGTGTTTGAATGTGTGTAGGATTCATAACAAAGAAAATAAATTGAAGGTGTACATTTAAGTAAATAAATGTGATCTGATAGACATTAGGAAGATACTGCTGCATAATGATAAGAATTGGCTCCTGAATGTCAATTGGTTTTTAAAATTCAACAAGAATAGGAAGATAGGTAAAGGTGGAGGGGTACCACTCAAGGTTGGCGTTGGTGCTAAAGCTAGAGATGACCTTGGTTCAGGAGATCAGATTTGTTTGGATTTGAGGAATAGTAGCAGAGATAAACCACTAATGGTTGTAGTCTACAAGCCCCCTAAATGCAACTACAATGTAGAATGAATTATGCAAGAAGAAATATTGCGTGCTTGCATTAAGTGGATGGTAGTAATTGTAGGTGATTTTAATCTACATAAAAACATGAAAATTCAGGTTGGGCAATGGTAGCCTGGCTGAGGTGTTCATGGCAAGCTTCTGACATAGTCTCTTAGAGCGGCATGCTCGGGAACCAAGTAGAGAGCAGATTATACCAGATCCAGTACTGGGAAATGTCACAGGATTAATTAATGGGCTCAGGGAAAAGGCACACCTAGGTAGCAGTGACTACAATAGGATTGAATTTTACATCTAATATGAAATACAGAGTATTAGATTTAAGACTAAAGTTTTACACTTAAATAAGGGCAACTGTGAAAACATGAAAACTGAGCTAGCTGAAGTGAACCAGGGTACTAGGTTGGGGTATAGGTCAATAGAGAAGCAGTATAAACATTTAAGGACATATTTCAGAATGCTCAGAATAAGTGCACGTTTCGTAAGAAGAAAAAAAATGAACAGAAGGGCCTACCATTATGTGGTGAACTTAAGAAGTTAAGCAGAGTATTAAATTTACGGAAAAAGCATGGCATTGCACAAAAATGACTGGCAGGTCAGGTGCTTGTCAAAATATAAAAAGTAGAGGATGACTAAAAGATTAATAAAGGAGGAAGAAATTAAAATATGAGGGGATCTAGCTAAATATGTAAAAATAGACAGCAAGAGTTTCTACAGTTTTAAAACGGGAAAGAGTAAGTAAAGTGATGCTGGACCTCCACAGAGTAAGTAGATAACAAGGAAATAACAGATGAAATGAAGAAATGCTTTGCTTCAGTCTTCACCACAGAGCTTAAATAAACATTCCAGTAATAGCTGTAAATCAGGAGATGGAAGGGAGTGAGAAATTGGTGAAATTACAATCATGCTGGAGAGATACTGAACAAACTGATGACAATTGCCCACGTTCCAATGGACTTCATTCTAGAGTCTTAAAAGAGTGAGCTAGTTATGTAGATGATCTGTTAGTGCTAACTTTCCAAAATTTGATAGTTTCTGGAAAGTTTCCATCAAACTGGAAAGTAGAAAATATAACTCCTGCAATCAATAAGGGAGAGAGGATTGCAGAAAGCAGGAAATGATAGGTACTGAACTGGACTTTAATCCTGGGGACTTTGTTAGAATTGGTCATTCAAGAGGTTACAGCTGGCATTTAGAAAACTCAAAGTAATCAGTAGCAGTCAGCATGTTTTTATGGAGGAAAAATTATGTTCAACCTATTTACTGGAGTTCTTTAAAGGAGTAACATGCACTGTGGGTAAGGGGGAAGCTTTGGAAATACTGTACTTGGATTTCCAGAAAGCAGTTGACATGATATTACACAAAAGATATTTGGGCTAAGTAGGATTTCGTAGTGTAGGGGGTAATATGCTAGCATGGATAGAAGATTGGTCAGGTGGCAGAAAGCAGAATTTGCAATAACCAGGTCTTTTTTCTGAATTGGTAGGACATGAAATAAAGAATATTAGTTAAATAGAAAATGGATTCTGTGGTGCAGAGGGACTGCACAAATCACAAAATGTCAGTATGTGGGTACAGCACATAAAGAAGGCTAAAGGGATTCTATGTTTTAATACAAGAGGAATTAAACATAGAAGATGCCATGCTTCAGTTATGTAGGGCACTGGTGAGCTCACATTTCGACTACTGTGTATTGTTTTGGTCTCCTTATTGGAAGGATTTAAATGTGATGGCGAGGATTCAGAGGTGGTTTACTAGATTGGTACTTGATCCTGCTTCCACTGGAGTTTAGAAGAATGAGGGGCCACTTGATTGAAGCATATATATTCCTGAATAGGCTTGTCAAGGTGGGCACGGAAAGGACTATTCCTCTTGTGAGTGGATCTGCAACTAGGGAGCATTGTTTAAAAATTAGAGATTGCATTTTTAGCAGAGATAAGGGGAACTTTTTCGTTTAGAGTTTTATGACTTTGCAATGCTACAATTCAGAGATGGTGGAGGCAATGTCATTGAATATTCTCAAGGCTGGAGTAGATAGATTCTTGATAGCCAAGAAAATGAAAAGTTACTAGGTTGGAGGAAATGTGAAATTCAAAACAGAAACAGATCAGCCATAATCTTATTGAATGGCTGACCAAACTTGAGGGACTGAGTAGTGTATTTATACTGGTAATTGGTACGCTTCTATGTCTGTATCGTCAGGCTAGCCCCTCCAGTCTTGTCCCAATTTTCTTGGAAAACATTCCACGTTCCAACCCGCCCCCATTCCTTAACTATTTTATTCATAACTTACTCCTGGGGGGGGGGGTGGCGGAGGATGGTCAGCTTTCAGTCACTTCCACTGTTAAATGTTTGGAGTGTGACCACAAAATATTTTGTCTTGCTATCTTCTGCACTTCCTTCAGCTTCAGCAAACACTGTGTATATGAACTACTGCTTTAACTTTTCGTACTTTCTCAGAATTCTCTTCCTTCCCTCACAACTGCTCAAAGACGTTAATCTACATAAGGAATGCTACAAATTGGGGTCTCAAGCAGTTTAGTTAGCAATTGAACTTGAAAAAAATCTCAAGAATTCTGCCAATGAACTGTCTCAACTCCCAAAGAAAAGCGAGGGACCTGTTTCACCAGTCTGTGCTTTCTCCAAGACTTTTCTCAGTCTTTTGTAAGGAAAACATTTCTGACTGTTCTTTACAAGGCAAGTGACCAGCTGTTGACTGCTAGGAATGTCACTTTTACTGTTCCTCAACAATACCTGTGTGTCTGATGCAACCAAGACAGTGAATGTTTGGAGGCAGCTTGACCTCCGTTACAGCTTACACGGGTGCCAACAGGGAGGCCCAGACTGGGAAAAAAATCTAGGCCTATTATTTCCTTTCATAAAAATACCATTGTGTTGTTATCTCAGAGGGCCAGAAGGACAACTTTCCAGGGTCAGTAAGGTGATCTGGACACACACCACCTCTTCTCCATCTAGGAATAGTACATAGCCAGAATCACATTAATGAAAGATGCAAAAGAAATGCTTGCTGCAAACTAATAAACTTCCTTTTATTGATCCTGTAAACTCTGGCTTGAGAGCACCATTGGTATAATTCTAATATAACTGCTGTTATCATGACTTGAGGAATTTTGAAGCCAAAGCATCTAATCATTTTGCATCTTAGATAAAAAGCCAACCTTTGAGATGCACATGAGCTGATCAGGTTGAAACAAGAATTAACTTTTGTAGCAATGGAGTCTAGAATTTACTGAATTATGTCCAAAGTATAACTTGGTCAAACTTTTTTTTTAAAAAAACTTCTGTGCCTTAAGAAAGTTTTCAGTTGTAACCTACATTGTCCATAGCTCTCAAACTAATGCAGAACACTGAAAAAACATTTTCCTTTTTTAACAGCTTAGTATGACCCTATAAACTCTATGAAGTAGTAAAGATTCCGCAACTCAGATTTATTTTCACCTGGCAGACATGAAACATTTCAAGAAATCGAAAGTCTGGATTGTGGTACAGTTTTGTACACCATGATTTTCCAGCCATGTCCACACAGTTTTCAGAGTCTCTTCTGAAGGTCGAATCAGACTGGATAACTCATCCAACGTGAGATATTTACCTAGAGAATAGTGAGACTCAGTTTACCAATGCAACTAAATATTTCTCAAAAAGGGTTAAAAGGTGCAAAGATTTTTATTACATTTAAAAAAAGTCATAAACCTTAAATCAGAATTAGTCATGTATTCACATTTGAAATTCTTCCAGAAGGAGTCTTGCTCAACCTTATTAAGTAATATAAAATACTGAAACATACATAAAATACATAAAACAAGTGGAAATCTGAAATGCAAATTAGAAATGTTGGTAAAATAGTGTTTTTAAGAAGTTATTCACCTCATCTTAATTCATCCATCCAGAAAGATCTTTTCTCACTTCAGCACCACAACTCACAATTCAACATCTAATTTCTGAAATGATTCCAGGATTTTTGCTCTGTTACTCTATTTACTTATCAACATATGATGAAAAGGTTCCTAATATCAGCTCTAAAATCAACTTTTAACAGCTAAAGAACTACACATGCTTCCTTTTTCTGCACTGCACATAGCACTCGAATGTTCAAGGTGTGACACATCAATGATATCAGTTCAGTTACTGTTCCAATCTTTACAGTATGTTTTTGATGCGTTCAATATTTTTAACAAAAGCGAAATACTGCAGATGTTAGAAGTCTGAAATAAACACAGTATGTTGGAGAAACTCAACAGGTCTGGCAGCATCTTCCCAGTTCCGAAGAAGACATAAATGTTAACTGCTTTTCTCTCCACAGACGCTGCCAGACCTGCTGAGTTTCTCCAGCATTCACCATGTTTAGTCCAATATCTTTTTGACTTTGGTTGACTGCTGCTCTGCATGCTTCGACACACTTAGCATGGAGGTCACAAAGAGTCCATTGCAATTTCAATACCATTTCTGAAGCAGCCAAGTCAACTATTTCTTCTTCCTTTCTATAGAGCCTCACACATGTCTCACCTGCTATTTTTGCAAAATTTACTGATTGTAGCCAATTCATTTTGTGTTTTCTGATTTTACTATTGTTCCCTGTTTGGTATTATAGTTTTGACCATTATGTATTAAGTTTTTGCAAGCAAGTTATTTAAATAAATTAGACAAATTGTACCATCTCTGACCTGTCCCATTCAATACTTAACATTCTTGAAATAATTCCATTAATGAATACACACTTCCTGCACTTTTGTATTGATTTCTGAATTGTCAGAGCTGTCTGTTTAACTAACGTTGAATTTTGCAAAAACTTTTGAAAGTGCTGATAATTCAAGTCATAGAGCTTCTCAGTTCACATGGATTCTTACTTCCTCAAAGAAGTGGAGGAGATTGGTCAGGCAGAATTTTTATCACAGAATTCACATTAAAATTTTTGTTCCCAATTTGTTAGTAATATACCCCATTATAAACTCAAATTCAAAATAACTAATAGAACTAAAGAAACTTTTGCCTTCAAATAATATCACAAGACGCGCAAATATATAGCGGTGTAAATATTTAGAACATTTTTAAAATAAACCAGCTTTCAGACTACAGCCAGGAAATTCTTCCAATCTGGTCCCACTCTGCCTGTGTTACTTTGCCAGAAGTGTGCAGAAAACTATGTTCAAGCATGAAGATGGCAATAACTCCTTCAGCTAAACACAGGAACTTAATATAGTGGCTGCATGTTGTGATCAAGATTGCAATGATTGCGTTACTAACTGGACAGACAAGATTGTCAAGTCATAGAAAATCCTGCGAACATTGCTAACACGTAAAACAGAAAATAAGAAGCATAACATTTTCTGGATATTACCATATCGGATAGAATGTGGGTTTGATACTTCCTCCAGAAGTTCTTTGAGTTTGTCGGTATTTTGCTGTTTCAGTGAAAAAACGAGTAGCATTTGGTCAGAGGCTGATACTCGCCCTACATGTTTCCATCCTTTAGGAAGGCTGCAGAAAAACAGAAAACTCATTACAGACAAATGTCCAGTACTTTCAGTGTTGTGCATGTTGGGATCATACAGCCTTTATTATTCAATCACAAAATTTGAAAAAAATCCAGTAAAATCTCTCACAAAAGGCTTATCAAGTAAAAGTTTGAAAGATAAGCGCTCAATTGTTCAAGTGAGAAACAAACATATATTTCATTCACCACATCAGTTCCACAGGTGTCCAAATGCACATTTGTTCTGTCACCTTTGTTCCCGGCAATATCTTAAACTCACTGCCATCCAGATTGTTCCCCAGTATAGTCCTAATCAATTGATTGATTTGGCTAATTGCCATGTGTACCTAAGCATAGTGAAAAGCTTTGTTTGCGAGCAGTACAGGCAGATCACAGTAATCAAGGACAGAGATCATAGGGTGAAAATGCTTGGACAGAATAAGGCATACAGCTTAAACTGCACAGGACGTATGCAATGCAAGATCAACATGAACAAGATCTAGCATTATTTGTAGTTACAGAGTCTATCAGATGGGTGTGTGTTCTCCTCCTTTCTTTCTAAAGTCAATTAGCAGTTCTTTCGCTTTGCCAACATTGAGAGAGAGGTTATGATTGCCTCATGTCACCAAGGCCTCTGTTTCCTTTCTGTATTCTGATTCATTCCTTACAGCACTGTCTATCAAATGCCTATGATGCATTTTTAAAGTACCTGGTTAACAACAGGTTTAGTCATCAAAGACCATATCATACACAACCACTTTCTGTCTAAAATTCACACTTTTCTCAGATCATTATGTTTTATTCTCTCATGGCACGTGAGTATTGCTGGCTAGACAGCATTTATTGCCTGCCCTAGTTGCCCTATAATTTTTGGTCGTGAGTTGCTTCCTTAAGCTGCTGCAGTCATGAGCTATAGGTAGACCCACAATTCTGTTCGGGAGGAATTCTGGCATTTGTGCTCAGCGACAGTGAAGGAATAGCAATCCATTTCCAAGTCAGGACATTGTGTGGTCATCAGCAGGAGGTTTTCTTGCCCATGGTTAACCTGCTACCATGAAACTTCATGGGGTCAGGAGTAAATGTTGAGGACTCACTGGGCAGCTCCCTCCCGAGTGTACATCACTAAGTCACCACCTCTGCTGGATCTGTTCTTCCAGTGGGACTGAACATATTCAAGGATGGGGCATTGTAGGAGTGTACTCCTCCCCACTGTGTCCCCCGGCCCTCCACCACCCACCTCCAACCAGGGACAAAAACTAAAGAGACAGGCAGGATTCAGGCAAATGGAAGATGTTAATTCAAGCAGAAACTGATTGATGCAGGGAGCGGGCCAAAGGATCTTACCCAAATCCGGCCTCAACGTGAGAAAGCAATTTTTTCCTTAATCTACAGCTCAGATCAGAACAGAGATCAATGACACACACTGATTTTTACAGTGAAAATATAGTATTTTATACACTTTTGTTATAATAATCAAATACAGCATAGTCACTGTCCTTCCCTGTTAATCCATACACCCAATCCAGTGGGACACCTAATCAATGATGGGCATTCTTACAGACAGCCCCAGGTTCCCATGGTCTTATGGCATTTGTAATCTCTAGGCCTTGGGATCTTTCTATGCATCCTATTTATTCACATTCCAAAAATTTACTGGCTACTCTCCTTCAGATCTGTCTCAGGCTTCTTATCTCTAAGGACAGTGTGAATTCTATTATTCATTGTACTACATGTGCTACCTTTTATCAAATTCAGCCATTCCTCTAATATTTCCCACTGTCCTAATTATACAAGTTTAATTAGTCACTATAAGGTTAAGTTCTATTATAAAGTTAGTTATATAATGTACAGCTACTTCTACTCTTAGCAGTTTGTAATTAATGAGTTGTGAACAATCTATTTTGATCAGGGTGTAAAATAAGGTGTTTCCTAAGGATGATTAACTTTCATATCTAGGTTTAAATGGTTTTACCCTAATGTTTATATTATACTTTGGTTATATGTTGAAAACTACTTCAATGATTAAGGAATTTTTAACTAGAATCTATTTAATATTGCAGGTAGTTTCAAAGAAGTAACTATTTACTACAAAGTTACTTTAGCTGTTGTTTTTTGCAGCTGCCTAGGGAGTTAAATGGAGTTAATCTAGCTGGCTCATGGGCTGGGATTCACACTTGGTGTTATTCATTTACTGGAACAATCATCCTTTCATTACCGAGGCTGGAATGTCTGTTCTTAGGCATTCTCTTGTCAAAACTGACTTGGATGGTTGGTGGTAAGGCTCTTTTGCAGATCTTGGAGTAGTCTCGTTCAACGGTACCATTGTGTCTCACTTAAATGTTGGAGCAGGCTGTTCCATTTTGTTTTAATTCTTGTCGGCCATTTTGTGTCTTTCAAACACGGGCCACTTTGGTGTAAAGCAGGCATGGGTCACTTTGTATGGACAGGTACAGGTCAACCTTACAGGTATTGTCTGTATGGTATGATTCCATGAGTCTTATTATGTCAGGCTGTTGCTTAACTAGTCTGAGAGATAACTCTCCCAATTTTGGCACAAGCCCCCAGATGTTAGTAAGGTGGGGTCAGCATGTTTTTGCCATGGTTGTTTCTACTGCCTTGGTGAGACTTTGTTGCGATTGATACAACTGAGTGACTTGCTAAGCCATTTCAGAAGCCAATTCACAGTCAATGTTGGTCTGGAGTCGCATGTAAGCCAGACCCGGTGAGGAAGGCAGATTTCCTTTCCTGAAGGTAATTAGTGAACCAGATGGGTTTTTCTGATAATCAACAATGGTTTCATGGTCATCATTAGAATTTTCTAGCATTTTTGTTTTTATTTAACATGTTCTGCTCTTTTGACCAATTCCCACTAAACTCCTGATCCATTCAACTTCCCTTCCTGGACCTCATTCTAAGTCATGTTACAAATGGTTCCATTTCTTCATGTACTTTCTCCATCACTTTCAAAATTACCGTCAATATTTCTTACCAGCAAGAATGTCCATTTCTATATCTATAACATTCCACTTCTCCCCAAATTTCTCAATTGTTTTTAGATCCCAAATTTTACTTTCCTACAACTCACTGTCTGAAGCTCTCTAATCAGATTTCCTGCTACAACTCTTAACCAACACCTTTAATGGCATTCTCTGCGACTGGGGTGCATTATCCATCTTATCCTCCTTTAGATTCCTGCAGTCTTTGACACTGTTGGGCTCAACATCTTCCTCCGATGTGTCTCCTCTCCAGCTCACTGGGATAAGTCTTATTCCGTTTTCCAAATCTCAGTCACAGAATCTTTCAACATCAGACAATGAGGCACTTAGTGATCTGTCCCTGTCTCCTCCCCAACTCATTTATAGGGTGCCCCTTGGCAATATCCTTCATCAACATGGGATCAACTTCCAACGTGTGTTGACATCAAGCTGTACTTCCCAATGGCATTTTGTAGCCACATGGCTTGTTTACCAAGCACTATTTAACCAGCAGAATCTTGCTAAAACTTAAACCATTGTCTTTAGCTTCTGCCATAAACAGTTTCTATCAGTTCCATTCCTATTACTAGACACCGCCTCAGACTGAACTAATCTACTTACAGCCATGCTGTCTTATTTGACACTGCGCAATCTTCTGACCCCCAAAAGTCCAACAAATTCATATTCACCGTAAGACTGACTTTCTCTACTCCTGTCTCAGCATCTACACTTCTAAAATCTTCATCCATCACCTCTATTATTTCAATACTGCCTCAGTCAGCCTACAATTCTCACCATACAGTACAGTAAACTTCACTCCAACCTCTGCTGCTTAGCTTATCTGCCATCAAATCCTATGCATTCTTCTTTGATTCACATTGACATCTTGTCCCCCAACTCCTTTAATATTTAAATCTTTGGAAGTGGATCTCCAACCCATTTCTGACTTCTGACAGTCCTGCAGTCAACAACTTGCAATTCCTCTGATGCTAATCCCTTATGCATTGCATCTATTGGTGGCTGTACATTCAATGAACTAGGCCTCACGCTCTAAAATTCTTAATCTAAATCCCATTGCCCCCCCAATCTCATCTTCCTCTCCAAATATCAGAGTATTTTAAAGAATCTGACCAATCTTTTGCTTACTTTTCCTATTATTCCCTCCCTACCATCTCTGTGAAGTGCCTTGTGTTGTTTCCCTCAATTGTACATATATGCACTGAAATACAGGAAAGATGTTATTGTGACAAAAAATTTACAGAACTAATGGTACTAACAAGTTCTGAGTGTTTTGTTCAGGCCTCCCAGATGTGGTTTATGCGTTAAAACAACTGAATTCCAGTTTGCAGAAGCTGCCGTAAACATGAGGATGTTCATGTGTGGCACTGGCACATTTCAAAGAGACTTAGCAATAAAACAAAAACTGATTGAGCAAATATAATGTATAATGTTAAAGTAATAACTACAACTGATCAATGCCAGCAATAGTAAACAACAAATACAAATGGCAGCAATTACGGAGGCAGATTATATGTTGTAGTGTGAGTTGCCCATTAAAGTACTGCTGGAGTTGAATCTGTAGATTATTGCCCAGTTCGGTCTGATTCCGTTGTACAGTTTAAAAGCAGCTCGAGTTTTAAGCAGTATTAGTTAATTGCTCCTCAAGCATTAAGAAGCCAGAATTATCATGATGACGGGACTGATCAATTTCATGGGGAGTCAGCGGAATGACAGGAATAATTCGAACGAGTAGACATCATTCCCTTCTTTAAAGGGCATCACGAGGTCCGTTTCCTGCACTTACCTAATATTCTGATCTGGTTCCAGGTAAACACCACGGGAGGAAGAGATCACAACACTGCAAATACAAAATACCACGAACGAACACCTCCTATTGCAAACAAAGATTGAGATTTAGAGAGAACGTGGGTACGCAACTCTAAAATACCGTGAAATATTTTATCACATTATTTCAATATCGTTATGGAAGTTATCACCACTTCTCTCCGTAAACATCTCGATTCGTGGAGCCCAGTTAAAAGATGGCGAAAATGAATTGGATGGGTCACTACAGGCTTGAGACTCACCCAGATGCCATTTGTAAGGAACTGTCAGCGAGGACGCGAATCATTGCTGTACAAACCCACTCTGCGCTGAATTTAAAGTCTGCTGTGTAAGTACTTCCGGGACGTACGGCACTACAACTGAAACGTTAGTGGGACACAAATGAGTTGGTAAGTGTCGTGAAGCTGTTTAATCCCAAAACAATCCTACAAATCCAAGCAAATATTTTCAAAACAAATTGTTTTGAATAAAATATGAAAGATGGAAGTTTGTTAAAGAGTCCATGATGACTTGCTTCCACTCCTTGGGACAGGGTAGGCTCTGAGGTGGCTGAATACTTCAATCCTGGGGCATCGTACTCTGCCAAAGGTAAGGCAGGTGCTGTTAGTATTGGAGATGGGCAGGACGTTCTGGCTCCTTCTCGCTGTTTCTGCTGCTTGCACTTGACCTTCATGTGCCCAGTGATACTCAAAGTAATTGGTGCCTTCAGAGAGGCTTCTTCAGTTTGTGCTTTCTACGGCTAGCGATTCCCATGTGTTGATGGGTATGTTGCATTTGTTTAGGCAGGTTTTCTGGGTGTCCTTATGCCATTTACTCTGCCCTCCAAGTGATCACCTTACCAAATTTGGAGCTCGGAGTACAGCACATGTTTAGGGAGTCTTGTGTTAGGCACACAGACAATGTGGCCCACCCATCACGTGCACGTCCAATGCCTGGATACTGGGAATATTGGTCTGGGAGAGGGCACTCACATTGGAACGCGTATCCTGCCAGTGGATTTGCAGCGTTTTATTAAGTGCTGGTGTAGCGTTCCAGTGATTTGAGCTGTCTACTGTATACGGTCCATGTGTTATGGTCTTGTTTTCAGCGGCGGGTGTGTGGAGAGAACGCGAGCCAGGAAGGAACTGATATATTCGGGCATTGGCTAAACTCGAAACACTACAAGTATAGTGTCTCTCACCCATCCTTCTCTAACCAAAAAAAAGTCTGTGTGGAGGGTCGGTAAGGTAAGGCTTTTTTTTATTCTACTGGAAATCTAGAGTAGTGGGAATGGAAGCGAGGGCAGTTGCATGCTCCTCTTGCAGGATGTGGGAGGTGAGGGTCACTGCTGGTGTCCCCTCTGACTTCACCTGCGAGAAGTGCACCCAACTCCAGCTCCTCGCAAACCGCGTTAGGGAACTGAAGCTGGAGCTGGATGAACTTCTGATCATTCGGGAGGCTGAGGGGGTGATAGAGAGGAGTTATAGGCAGGTGGTCACACCCAAGGTACAGGAAAAAGGTGGCTGGGTGACTGTCAGGAAGGGGAAAGGGAATAGGCAGACAGTGCAGGGATCCCCTGTGGCCGTTCCCCTCAATAATAAGTATACCGTTTTGGATACTGTTGTGGGGGAGCGACCTACCAGGGGAAGACCATAGCGGACAGGTCTCTGGCACTGAGCCTGGCCCTGTCGCACAGAAGGGAAGGGGGAAGAATAGGAGAGCAATTGTAGTGGGGGATTCAATAGTAAGAGGCACAGACAGGCAGTTCTGTGGATCCGAACGAGATGAACGGATGGTACGTTGCCTCCCGGGTGCCAGGGTCTGTGATGTCTCGGATCGTGTCTTCAAGATCCTTAAGGGAGGGTGAGCAACCAGCAGTCATGGTACACATCGGTACCAATGACAGAGGTAGAAAAAGGACTGAGAATGTGAAAAACGAGTACAGGGAGTTAGGTTGGAAGCTGAAGTCCAGGACAAACAGGGTAGTTATCTCTGGATTACTACCAGTGCCACGTGATAATGAGGTAAGAAATAGGGAGAGAGTGCAGCTAAACATGTGGCTACAGGGCTGGTGTAGGAGGGAGGGCTTCCATTATGTGGATAATTGGAGCACATTCTGGGGAAGGTAGGACCTGTACAGTAAGCACAGGTTGCACCTGAACTGGAAGGGTACAAATATCCTGGGAGGGAGGTTTGCTCGAGCTGTACAGGATGGTTTAAACTAGATTGGCAGGGGGTGGGGAACCGGATTTGTAATTTAGAGGATGAGGTATTCAGCCTTCCAACAGACACAACAGGGAGTGAGGGTGTTAATAAAGAATTGTGGTCAGTGGAGCGTAATTGTGGACACAGAGATGGTTTGAGGTGTGTAAACTTCAATGCTAGAAGTATCAGAAATAAGGCGGATGAACTTAGAGCGTGGGTCAGTACTTGGAACTACGATGTTGTGGCCATTACAGAAGCTTGGGTAACTCGGGAAGAGGAATGGTTGTTGGAAGTTCCGGGATTTAGATGCTTTAAAAGAAATAGGGAGGGTGGAGACAGAGGCGGGGGAGTGGCATTGCTAGTCAGGGCTAGTATAGCAGCTACTGAGAATGATATGTCTACAGAGTCAGTTTGGGTTGAGGTCCGGAACAAGAAAGGAGCAGTCACTTCGTTTGGGTTTTTTTACAGACCCCCTAATAGTTGCAGAGAAGTAGAGGAGCAGATCGGGAGGCAGATACTGGAAAGGTGCGGAAGTCACAGGGTTGTAGTCATGGGTGACTTCAACTTTCCAAATATTGATTGGAAACATTTTAGTTGTAATAGTTTAGATGGAGCGGATTTTGTCCAGTGCATTCAGGAAGGATTCCTGACACAGTATGTAGATTGACCAGCACGAGGAGAGGCCACTTTGGATTTGGTGCTTGGCAATGAACCGGGGCCAAGTGTTAGACCTGTTGGTAGGAGAGCATTTTGGCGGTAGCAATCATAATTCTGCTAGTTTTACAATAGTCATGGAAAAGGATAGGTACATCCAGCAGGGTAAGGTTGATAATTGGGGGAAGGGTAATTACAATTCCGTTAGGCAAGAACTGGGTAACATAAAATGGGAACAGATGCTGTCAGGGAAGGGCACTATTGAAATATGGAGATTGTTTAAGGAATGCGTACTGCATGTGATCGATATCTTTGTCCCTAGCAAGCAGGGAAGATGCGGTCGAGTGAGGGAGCCTTGGTTCTTAAGAGAGGTCGAATGTCTGGTTAAGAGGAATAAGGATGCTGATATAAGGTTTAGGAAACAAGGAATGGAAAAGGCTCCAGACGTATACAAGTTAGCCAGGAAGGAAGTGAAGAAAGCGCTTAGGAGAGCTATAAGGGGGCATGAGAAAACCTTGACAGATAGGATCAAGGAAAACTCCAAGGCTTTTTACATGTACTGAGGAATAAGAGAATGACCAGAAAAAGGGCAGGGCCGATCAAGGATTGTAAAGGGAATTTGTGCATGGAGCCTAAAGAGATAGGAGAGGTCCTCAATGAATACTTTTCTTCAGTATTCACAACTGAGAGGGACCTAGTTGTAGAGGACAGTGTGAAACAGGCTGGTAGGTTAGAGGAGGTCGATGTTAATAAGGAAGATGTGCTAGGAATTTTGAGGAAGTTGAAGATAGATAAGTCCCCTGGGCCTAATGGGATTTATCCAAGGATTCCATGGGAAGCGAGGGAAGAGATCGCTGGGGCTTTGGCGATGATCTTTTCGTTCTCACTGTCCACGGGTATAGTTCAGGAAGATTGGAGAGAGGCAAATGTCGTTCCCTTGTTCAAAAGAGGGAATAGGGATAACCCCGGAAATTACAGGCCAGTTAG